TTGCTGAGCGTGTCCATCCCTTTATGACCACAGTGTACCCATCTTCTGATGGCTACTTCCAGCAGGATAACGCACCATGTCACAAAGCTCACATCATCTCAAACATGACAATGAGTTCACTGTACTCCAATGGCCTCCACAGTCACCAGATCTCAGTCCAATAGAGCACCTTTGGGATGTGCTGGAACGGGAGATTCTCATCATGGATCAACTGTGTGATGTCATCATGTCAATATGGACCAACATCTCTGAGGAATGTTTCCAGCACCTTGTTGAGTCTGTGACACCAAGGATTAAAAAAAGGGTCCAGTGCTGATGACTCACTGACATCTGATGATCCGTTAATGTGGATCCACAGGTCTGTGGTGATTCTCTCCTGAATAACGTCCGTGCTCCGTGGTCTTTGGGGGCGTGGTTACTTGCTGACATCAGTCTGATCAGCCTCACCTGTGAGCTCAGCTTGTAGGTGGAGCTCAGACTCAGAGCAGATCACTGCAGACTGTCAGCTGAGTTCAGAAGCTCAGTGGGGTCTGATTTTACATCACCGCAGCAGCTGGAAGCTGCTGGACTACAAGTAAGGGTGCAGGGAAGGGACAAAATAGCAGCGTGAGCAGAATGATAACTGCCATGTTTATACTGTGTGTGTGTGTGTGTGTGTGTGTGTGTTGCAGTGTGTCCTCAGGGAGGGTCTGGAGGAGATGAAGCAGTTCTTCTCAGTGAACAGCAGCTGCAGACTTCCTCTGAACCCGGCGCTGCTCGTCACAGGAATCAACGTCCAGGTACCAAAGGACACACATACACACACACGCACGCACACACTCCTGTAACACAAACTGTTCACGCACACACAGAGCTGTTCATCTGGTTCAAAGTGAGACATGTCCTCACACGTCTTCATAAACAAAGACCTCAGAATATTCAGTGAGTCTGATGACTGAACAAAGAGTTGACCCTGAATGTCTCATGTTGCAGCTCCGCCGTCCGTACAGACAGACGGACGGACAGTGAAACATTGTGTCTGGTTTTATAGAAGTCGTCATGTTCAGTTCTCATCCTCTCTGTGTTTTAGTCATGTTCCTTCTTCAACTCCAACGCCGTCCCTCTCAAACTGTCCTTCCAAAACCTCGACCCTCTGGGAGACAACGTCAACGTCATCTTCAAGGTGAAATGTCTCACCTGGTTTTACCTGTCGTTAGACTCAATGCTGTGTCAGAGATACAAACAGCCTCACCTGGAGGACAGGTGTCTGACCTCTGATGTCTCTGTCCAGTCAGGAGACGACCTGCGGCAGGACATGCTGACTCTGCAGGTGATCCGGATCATGAACAAGATCTGGATCCAGGAGGGTCTGGACATGAGGATGGTCATCTTCAAATGTTTCTCCACTGGCAGAGGACGAGGTGAGGATACACACCACGTGTATACATCAGGAGGACAGGTGTGTTTCACAGGAGGACAGGTGTCTGTCAGGAGGACAGGTGTATATCACAGGAGGACAGGTGTCTGTCAGGAGGACAGGTGTGTATCAGGAGGACAGGTGTGTATCACAGGAGGACAGGTGTGTTTCACAGGAGGACAGGTGTGTTTCACAGGAGGACAGGTGTCTGTCAGGAGGACAGGTGTGTATCAGGAGGACAGGTGTGTATCAGGAGGACAGGTGTATATCACAGGAGGACAGGTGTATATCACAGGAGGACAGGTGTGTTTCACAGGAGGACAGGTGTGTTTCACAGGAGGACAGGTGTATATCACAGGAGGACAGGTGTGTTTCACAGGAGGACAGGTGTCTGTCAGGAGGACAGGTGTGTATCAGGAGGACAGGTGTGTATCAGGAGGACAGGTGTGTTGTTACCTGTTCTCAGGTGTGACTGACATGCGTGTTGTTACCTGTTCTCAGGTATGGTGGAGATGATTCCTCAGGCTGACACTCTGAGAAAGATCCAGGTGGAACATGGAGTCACTGGGTCCTTTAAAGACCGACCGCTGGCCGACTGGCTGCAGAAACACAACCCAACTGATGAGCAGTACGACAAGGTACACACACCTGCACACACACCTGTACACACACCTGCACACACACCTGCACACTGTGGTCGTTGGGCTTTGAGGTCGTCGTGTGTCTGTGTTCTTGTTTTATTTATTGATTATTGGTTGAATATTAATGATAAACTCGACTGTGTGTTCAGGCAGTGGAGAACTTTATCTACTCGTGCGCCGGCTGCTGCGTGGCGACCTACATCCTGGGAATCTGTGACCGCCACAACGACAACATCATGCTGAAGACCAGCGGTCACATGTTCCACATCGACTTCGGGAAGTTCCTGGGACACGCTCAGATGTTCGGGAACATCAAACGGTGAGTCGTGATGTCACAGAGTGTTTTACTCACCAACACGTGACGATGAGCTGCGACACACCTGTTCAGACCTTCAGCAGTCACAGTCAGGTGGATCAGAGGTAAGGTTGGGGAGATGCATCATGGGATTTGTAGTTCACCTCAGTCTTTGTCCACAGGGTTCTTATAGAGTGTAACTGTTGGACATCTTTAACCTGTGAAACATAAACACACACACACACACACACACACTCCACAGTCTGACAGACAACACTGTGATGTGGAATATAAAAACACGACAATAATAATAATCAGGTGGGTTGTTGATTATTTACCTGTGTGATGTGGGTCATATGACGTGTGCAGGGACCGCGCCCCCTTTGTGTTCACCTCCGACATGGCGTACGTCATCAACGGAGGAGACAAACCGTCAAGCCGCTTCCACGACTTTGTGGATCTGTGCTGCGAGGCGTACAACCTGATCAGGAAACACACACACCTGTTCCTCAACCTGCTGGGCCTGGTGCGTACAACACACACACACACACACACACACACACACACACAGACAGAGGGGTGGACAGAAAACCACCTGCTGAACTTCAGTGTTCACCGTTTCCATGGTTACAGAGCAAACTTCTGTAATGCTATTGTGTGTGTGTGTGTGTGTGTGTGTGTGTGCTTGCGTGCAGATGTTGTCCTGTGGGATCCCTGAACTGTCTGATCTGGAGGATCTGAGGTACGTCTACGACGCGCTGAGACCTCACGATTCTGAGGCTGACGCCACCATGTATTTCACCAGGTACACACACGCACACACACACACACACACGCACAGGTTTGATGGTTTATTACCTGTGAAGTGATGCAGTGCAGGTGAAGATTAATTTGATGATCTTGATGGAAACAGTTTGAGATTTCATGAAGGGTGAAGTCAGAGCTTTAAAGGAGCATTCCACCCGATTCAGATCCACTCACATCAGCTCACTGCTCGTGGTCCGTCTACAGTCCGTCTCTGTCCGTCTCTGTCTGTCTCTGTCTGTCTCTGTCTGTCCTCCATCAGACACACAGCCTCAGAGCACCAACTGACTTTGGTCAAACTGAATCTGACTTTTCTTTGTTTAATCATGTGAATAACTGAAGATCAGACAGGTGGGAGCAACACGTCTGTCCTCCTCTGTTAGCTGGTGTGTTAGCCACTATTAGCATATCTGAGCTAACTCTATCAACATGTAATTACTTCATCACATCTGACACACAGACACACACACACACACACACACACACACACACAGGAAGTCATCACATAAACAACAACATAAGAGGCCGAGACATAGAAATATGTGAGCGTGATGAATCCGATCAGACTGAGGGACATATACAGGTGGACTGTGACCAGGTGAACGCAGCGTCCCGTCTCTACCTGTGCAGGTTGATAGAGTCCAGTCTCGGCAGCGTCGCCACCAAACTCAACTTCTTCATCCACAATCTGGCTCAGATGAAGTTCGCCTCCTCCGAGGATCGACCCACGCTCTCCTTCGCTCCCAGAGTCCACACGGCCAAGAGCGACGGCCTGATCAGGAACCTCTACATCTGCAGACACATCAGGATGGCCAGCGCCGGCAGCAAGGCATACGTGAGTCCACGCATCACACACCCACGTGTTGCCCATGATGCCCGTGTCGGCGTCAGCCATGGCCCCAGGCGTCATGTTGTCTGTTCGTCCAAACACATGGACATATGTCTGTACACGCATTCGTACGTCAGTCTCAGTCTCAAGAACGCCTCAAGGGAATTTCTTTAAATTTGACACAAACGTCCACTGAAGAATTTTATGGTCAAAGGTCAAAGGTCAGTGTGACCTCAAGAAACATGTTTTTGTCCAAAACAATTCATACGTTAATTATGAAAATATTTCACACAAATGTCTAACAGGATAAAATAATGAAGGTCAAAAGGTCAAAGGTCAGTTTGACTGTGACATCATCATGTTTTAACGTCATATCTCAGGAACAGAAGGGGAGACATTTAGACACACACACACACACACACACACACACACACATCAGGGGTGTTGATACAGCTGAAAAGTACAAATTTAAATGTATGAAAACTGCAGTTTTGTTTTTTATACAAACACTGAGTGTTTGGTACGTGATGCACAGTTAAGGATCAGCTGACAGCGATGGTCATGACGTGTCTCACAGAACACCTGCTGAAGTCAGACGTCAACTTCCTGTTTTAGAGACAACTTTTTTATTTTGAGCACAAAACAATATACACACATACACATGTACACATATAACAGCATGCATAATAACACTGGAGGGAATTTACAGGTGGAATCAAATGAGAACATTATTAAGAGGGTGGTTTTCTGACATGTTCCTGAATGCAGCAGTCAACACATGTTAAACATGACAACATGACAAATCTGAACCCTCCAGCTGCTCCGATCAGCCTCTGATGACACACTCAATCACATTTATAGTGTCTATGAACATTTACTGAGTCAGTGTCAGAGAGATACAAGAGTGTGTGTGTGTGTGTGTGTGTGTGTGTGTGTGTGTGTGTGTGTGTGTTTCAGGCGTTTGTGGTTAAGGTGGAGCGTGACGGTCAGCAGGAGGCGCTGCTGGTTCAGAGGACGTTTGAAGAGTTTCATGAACTTCACAGCAAACTGAGACTCATCTTCCCCTCGTCCAAACTACCCAGGTACACACAGACACACACACACACACACACACACACACACACACACTGACAGTAACAGAATCTAAAGTCTTGACAAGATTTTATTTTTTCAGTTTTCGTCCTCTTTGTCCCACCCACAGTTTCCCGAGCCGTCTTGTGATTGGTCGGTCCCGGGGTGAGGCCATGGCTGACAGGAGGAAAGACGAGCTCAACGGTTACGTGTGGCACCTGATCCACGCCGCGCCAGAGATCGCTCAGGTCAGTCACACCCTGACACACCTGGGTCAATACTATAATCACTGCTGATGATGATGATGATGATGATGATGATGGTGGTGATGATGAAGATGTCTGCTGACAGGATGTTACTCCTCACCTGGCTGCAGTCCAGGTGTGCAGGTGTACTGTACCAGGTCACTGTGACATCACAGCTGGGCGTGTCTGACTCTGTGACAGCAGACATATGATTTTAGCATGAAGCTAATCTGAGACATCATGTGGTTACCATGGTAACAGGTGTGTAGTTGTCACATGACGACATCAAAAACAATAAGGTTCAGCCTGGAGCTGCGGTCAGAGCGCTGACCATGTGATGAAGACGTGTGTCATCATGTGAGGAAGGTCACAGCATCCTCATCATCACACTGTCATTTATTCATGTGTTCACATGTGCTGCTCCACCTCACCTCATGGTGTCCTCATGTCTTCATGTTGTCCTCATGTCCTCATGTCTTTATGTTGTCTTCATGTCTTCATCTTGTCCTCATGTCTTTATGTTGTCCTCATGTCCTCATGTCTTTATGTTGTCTTCATGTCTTCATCTTGTCCTCATGTCTTTATGTTGTCTTCATGTCCTCATGTCTTTATGTCCTAATGTCTTTATGTTGTTCTCATGTCTTCATGTCCTCATGTCTTTATGTTGTCCTCATGTCTTTATGTTGTCTTCCTGTCCTCATGTCTTCATGTCCTCATGTCCTCATGTCTTTATGTTGTCTTCATGTCTTCATCTTGTCCTCATGTCTTTATGTTGTCTTCATGTCCTCATGTCTTTATGTCCTAATGTCTTTATGTTGTTCTCATGTCTTCATGTCCTCATGTCTTTATGTTGTCCTCATGTCTTTATGTTGTCTTCCTGTCCTCATGTCTTCATGTCCTCATGTCCTCATGTCTTTATGTTGTCTTCATGTCCTCATGTCTTTATGTTGTCCTCATGTCTTTATGTTGTCCTCATGTCTTTATGTTGTCCTCATGTCTTCATGTCCTCATGTCTTTATGTTGTCCTCATGTCTTTATGTCATCATGTCTTCATGTCCTCATGTCTTTATGTTGTCCTCGTGTCTTTATGTCATCATGTCTTCAAGTCCTCATGTCTTTATGTCCTAATGTCTTTATGTTATCCTTATGTCTTTATGTTGTCGTCATGTCCTCATATCTTCATGTCTTTATGTTGTCCTCATGTCTTTATGTCCTAATGTCTTTATGTTGTCGTCATGTCTTTATGTTGTCGTCATGTCCTCATATCTTCATGTCCTCATGTCTTTATGTTGTCCTCATATCTTCATGTCCTCATGTCTTTATGTTGTCATCATGTCCTCATATCTTCATGTCCTCATGTATTTATGTTGTCCTCATGTCCTCATATCTTCATGTCCTCATGTCTTTATGTTGTCCTCATATCTTCATGTCCTCATGTCTTTATGTTGTCATCATGTCCTCATATCTTCATGTCCTCATGTCTTTATGTTGTCATCATGTCCTCATATCTTCATGTCCTCATGTATTTATGTTGTCCTCATGTCCTCATATCCTCATGTCTTTATGTTGTCCTCATGTCCTCATATCTTCATGTCCTCATGTCTTTGTTGTCCTCATGTCCTCATATCCTCATGTCTTTATGTTGTCCTCATATCTTCATGTCCTCATGTCTTTATGTTGTCCTCATATCCTCATGTCTTTATGTTGTCCTCATGTCCTCATATCTTCATGTCCCCATGTCTTTATGTTGTCCTCATGTCTTTATGTTGTCCTCATGTCTTTATGTCCTTATGTCTTTATGTTGTCCCCATGTCTTTATGTTGTCTTCATGTCCTCATGTCTTTATGCTGTCCCCATGTTTTCATGTCCTCATGTTGTTTTCATGTGCTCATATCTTCATGTCTTTGTGTCTTTATGTTGTCCTCATGTCTTCATGTCCTCATATCTTCATGTCCTGTCTTTATGTTGTCTTCATGTCTTTATGTTGTCCTCATGTCTTTATGTCATCATGTTTTCATGTTCTCATGTCTTTATGTTGTCCTCATGTCTTTATGTCATCATGTTTTCATGTTCTCATGTCTTTATGTTGTCCTCATGTCTTTATGTTGTCTTCATGTCCTCATGTCTTTATGTTGTCTTCATGTCCTCATGTCTTTATGTTGTCCTCATGTCTTTATGTTGTCTTCATGTCCTCATGTCTTTATGTTGTCCTCATGTCCTCATGTCTTTATGTTGTCCTCATGTCTTTATGTTGTCTTCATGTCCTCATGTCTTTATGTTGTCCTCATGTCTTTATGTTGTCTTCATGTCCTCATGTCTTTATGTTGTCCTCATGTCCTCATATCTTCATGGCTTTGTGTCTTTATGTCTCCATGTCTAAATTGTTGCCCTCATGTGTTCATGTGTTGATGTGTGTTGTGGTGCAGCTGCTGTATCATCTCAGTCTCAGATGTCTCAGATGTCTCAGATGTCTCAGATGTCTCCGTCCTGCATCAGTCGTCAAGTTTCATTTTCCCTCTGTGGATTCTGAGAAATGAAACACACACACACACACACACACACACACACACACACACAGTATCAGGTCTGTCCTGTTTTAGAAACTTGGCAGTCGAGGACGTTGCACTCTTCTGTCTCTTCATCTCTTCGTCTGATGATGATGATGATGGTGATGATGATGGTGATGATGATGATGTGTAAACATGTAGTGACACAGTTTTATATTTTAAATGTTAATCTGTTGCAGTGTGACCTCGTCTACACCTTCTTCCACCCGCTGCCCCGAGATGAGAGACCGGGAAGTACAACCAGCAAACCAGCAGGTACACACACACACACACACACACACAAACTGATAAAACTGATAAAAAATAATCTCCAGGAGATGAAACGTTTGACGCCGTTGGCACACGTCCTGCATCTGTAACCAGCTGGGAAACATGAACGAGGTCGGGTGCTGCACGCCATTCTGCGCCAACTGCCAAAAGGGCGGCACCTCCATATTTATCAGACTGATGTTTACAGGACAGATATCTGAGGGCTGTGATTGGTTGGACCTCGTCACATGACGTGGTGCACTGCTGCGTTCCAGAGGTCGAACCTAGTTTATGCCACTTGGCAGTGGCAGCAGCGCACAACATGGTGATGGAGGAGGTGAGGACGGACTCAGTGATGGCAGAGTAGAAGTGCACCATCATTGTCTGTGGCAGGATGAACTTCTTCAGCTGCAGGAAGTACTTCCTCTAATGTTCAGCTCCCAGTTGAGCTCCTGGGTGATGGTGGTCCCCAGGAAGCACACTGACCCCACAGTGTGGACTGGGGAGTCAGTGTGTGTGTGTGTGTGTGTGTGTGTGTGTGTGTGTGTGTGTGTGTGTCAGGTATGTGTAACATTAGATGCAGCTGACACCTGACTGTGATTTGTCACTGTAAAACCAGTTGACGTTCAACTGGTTTGTCCACATTCTATCACACACACACACACACACACACACACACACACACACAGAGTCACAGATTAAAGATCAGTGTGTTGAGGTGACACAGTCACAGAGGTTAGTATAGTATTAGTTAGCAGACAGTTGGGTTGGGATGACTGAGGGTATAATGCTAAGCAGGTTCTGTAATGCGTTGGCCTGAGGTTAATGTGAGTTACCTGGCAGTGCTGCATATCCATGATCATGATCATTGGAGTGTGTGTGAGTGCATGAGAATCTTCTCCCTCCTCTTCTGGTGAGAACAGAAATCCTGCAAGAGGGCGACAGGAAGACACACACACACACACACACACACACACACACACACACACAGAAACCGTGCTTCTATACAGAGATGTCTGTGTGGGGACAGGATGTCCACCTGTCCTCACAGTGTCCTCCAGGAAACAGCTCACATCTCTGTTTGTTTGAACTTTGACCTGAACAAAGTGTCCAGACCTGCAGACAGCAGCCTGATTCATCCAGACAGTAACAGCAGTGAGTCAATGTGTTTACATGGCGTCAGAGAAACTGATTTACTGCTCTTTATAAATCCCTGTGAACATGTCAGTGTGAGTGAAATGGTCCTGCAGTGTGTCACAGTGGGACTAACACACCCAGATCATGTGACTCCTGCATGTATACAGTCAATCAGACCCAAACTGGCCGAGGCGCTCTGAGCATGCTCCACAGTTTCCGCCCCGGGCTTTGACCCGGAAGTCCAATAGCATTAAATGTGTAAGAGAAGAAGAAGCCGGTAACAACATGGAGAAATCTACATCCAGAGCCGTGACTTTTTGGACGGACCAAATGTACAGAGCTGTAAAGTTGTCCACCATGGTAGCAGTTAGCTGCTAGCTAACCGTAGCTAACTTGTTTGTCCATTGTTTGGTCTGTGACGTAATAGGTCAACAGGAAAAAGGTCCAATACTAACAAGCTGAAAGGGGGCATATCTCCACCTATCGTAGAGGAGTCGCACATACTTGGCTCAATAAATGGATTCCCCTCCCGTGCTTGTATACTGGGACAAGGACAGTAGGCCAGTTAGATGTCCTCGTCCAGCTGGAACTGTAGAAACACTTCACTGTGACTGGACACAGACTGAACGTCTGAGCTGCTGCATCTCTGTGTTTATATATGAAGGCTCAGTATGTGTGTGTGTGTGTGTGTGTGTGTTGCAGAGCTGTCGTGGTCTCCAGCTGCAGGTAAAGAGCTCGGCGAGGTCAAACTGTCCATCTCCTACAAGAACGACAAACTCTTCATCATGGTGATGCACATACGAGGCCTGGTCAGTATCACCGTGTGTGTGTGTGTGTTGATATGCAGAGTTGTTGCTAGGTAACTGTTGGTGATGTCACAATACAGGTCCTTGAAAATCATCAATATCTGAGGATAAATTTTACACAGAGGTCGTAAACTGTAACTTTGTTATTCAGAGATAAAAATAAGAGACGACAGCGTGTTGTGTTCAGGTGTCACGGGATACTTCAGAATTTATTTGTCATTTAAAAACAAAAGAATTCAACAGTTTTCTTGTTTTTCATTTTAAACCAAAGTTAAAAAATAAAATCACGTGATCTGTTTGTTTTTGTTGCAACAACACCCATTTTGGTTTTCGCCGTTTCTCATTTGGAACGGACACGGTGGACGGACAGGAAGAGGAAGTGACATGTACACAAGTCAAAATAAAAGGTCTGTTTTTTTTTAGTTATTTATGGCAGAGTCAAAGGGGCAGGTCATGTGACATTATGAACACACGTTACAATAATCAGTATGAGGTATGACGCAGGCCTGTGGGACGTGTTGTTAAAATGAAGAATCCTAAATCATAAACAAACAGCTTTAAATCAGTTTTTGTTTTTTTGATTCTGAAACAAAAAGTGAAAAATGGCTTTTGTTTTTGTTTTAAAGCAGCTGTGCGGAACTTTACATTTTCGTTGATTATAGCGCCACCTTTGGTCAAAGCGGTATGACACCCACAGCCTGGTGTCGTAAAATTCCGACTGCAGCCGGCATTCGGCTTCATTCGTAAAATCTCGACTGCAACTGGCAATTACCGCATGCATTTGTTTTGGAGAGCGAGAGGACTAACGTTACTAACGTCAGGTCAGTCCAAGTAATTAGTGGAAACAGCAAAATTAATCAGTAAATTCTCCTGTCGTCTTTCTGTTCTGATCTAACCCTAACACAGCAAAGCTCTTACCTGCAGCCTTCGCTTGCAAAGCTAACGTTACTAACGTTAAGTCAGTCCAAGTAATTAGTGGAAACATGCTAACATGCTAACGTTACACACAAGTTAATAGTAAAGTAAGACCTGTTCATAAATGTTCTGGTGTAGCTCTGAATTTCTTATAAACTGAGGACAACTGCCTGCTGTATATTTGTGTTCATGGTCACAGTCACAGATCATTTTGTGGCGTTTGTTGTAACGTTACTAGACAAAAGCGGTTCACATCAGCTAACGTTACATTTAGCTTGCTTATAACTTCCATGTCGTCATATATTGAAGTGAAACAACGTCTAACAAGTTGCGGTATATTCTCTGAATAAAAACAAAAATGACATACCTGTCGATTAGGGAAAGGGCCAACTCAGGATCAGTTTTAAAACCTTTCAAGCTCTCTCCACTTGGTGAATGCCTGACCAAGGTTTACACGTGTTTGGGCTCGAGCCCTGTCACTGTCCCGTTTAGCCTTCTTCTGTTCTTCTGTTCTTTTTCTTTTAGATGGTGCTCCTTCTTTATCCGCCATGACATCAAAAGTACAACCAAGTCCTTATAGAAACATCTGGTAAACCTGTTATGTGTTCAGCAATACCCGTTGCGTACCGCTTACTTGGAGAACACTCTCTGTAAACACGGCTCTTCTTCTTCTGTGGTTTAATGGCTGCGGGCCGCTGTGGGCAAGCAGAATCACTTCCGCCTCCAGGTGCCGTATTCTGGTTTGCTGACTTCCGCTGTGTCCGACCCGAGCCAGGCTACACTAAATAGCCATATAGAAAGGCTTTTTGTCGCTGTTGGGTTCAAATAAATATGCGGATCTTCAAGGCGGGGTGATAGGAACTAGGGACAGTTTTATTAATGGTAAAAAGTTCCGCACAGCTGCTTTAAAATAAAAAACAAGAAAATTTTTGAATTCAGTTGGGTTTGTTTTTGAATGAATTTTGGAGAATCCAGTGATGCCGTCACCGTGACAACAGTTTCCTTTTCTTGGTGAGCAGCAGAGAGCAACGCAACCACCGCAAGAAACACTGACGACGAAGAGAGGAAGATGAATCCATCACAGCTGGTTTGATTCTGACCTGCGGCCGTCGCTGCGTGTTGTCCTCCGCCACACCTCCGCCGCCCGTCAGCTGATCTGTCAATAAAAAAATAGAACCCAAAATAATCTTAAAAAAAGAAAAACCCAGAATCAATTCTGTATCTCTGATGAGACCTGTCCCTGTGGTGGGACATGTTGGACGGTAGATGATGATGATGATGATGGACATCAGCTGCTCAGAGTCACGTTTTCATACTTGGCTGTTTTGATTGGCTGCAGCATGAACGTCATGAACACACACTAACTGTACATGTAACATTTAACAGAGTCAGAGAGACGAACCAGCACAGACGTCACGGCCACGTCACAGTCACAGTCACGTCGTCTCTACGTTAATCAGATGTTTATTTTTCACCTTGTTGGCTTTTAATGATTAATGATATTTTTAAAATCAAGAAAATGTTAATACGATACGATATCGATTTTTCGGACATGGATACGACACATGTCGATGTCACACAGTGTCGCCGTACGATTTCCACTCTGCTGATTTATTCCAGAGTAAATAACCTCCTCTTCATCATCTTCCCCTCGTCTGCTGCTGTTTGATGCTGACACAGACTTTCAAAATAAAAGCGTGAAAGATGACAATATAGATCGTTGTTTGATCATTGAGTCGATATATTGATCCAGATCGATGGATCGTCACAGCCCTCATCAGACGACATTCTTCACCCAGCAGTGTTCTGTGTTCCTTCCTGCAGCAGCCCCTGCAGGACGGCGCCGACCCCGACCCCTACGTGAAGCTCTACCTCCTCCCCGACCCCCAGAAGACCAGCAAGAGGAAGACCAAGGCAGCACGCCGCACCTGTAACCCCACCTACAACGAGATGGTAACCACACACACACACACACACTGACATCATCAGCAGGTTGTCTGTCTATCAGCTGACTCCACCTGTCGGACGGCGTTGGCTGCGTCAGTTGATGATTTTCTCCCGTGTGCGGTGTCAGAGCGGACGGGAGCGTGTGAGACACCTCATGACGTCCTGACAGACCAAAGTGTTCCCTCACGACCGTGACCAATGAGGGAACAGCGCGCTCTTCAGATGTAAAAGGTCACAGACAGTTTTTCTGAACCAACACAGCATCAAACACTCCTGACTCCTTCTGATGACATCACACAGGTTGTAAAAGATGGCGAGCTAAGATTGGTCGAGGACTGACGGCAGTCGGCCGTTACTCTCGGCCGAGTCACAGCGAGATTTAACACTGCGAGTGTCGTAAGAGAAATGTGCTGTCTGAAGCCGACGACACGACAAACACGCAGCTCCCGCCAACCGCCGCCTGACATCATCATTTCTGTTTGACTGCAGCTAAAATAAAAAACCACGAGAACTGCAACAGCTCAGGCGTCATCACATCGTGACACGTGACCTTCTGCCATGACAGCGAACAGTTCAGGCGTCACGGTGTACACTCGTAATGACATCACTGCACTACGTGAGGCGTGGTCACAAATCTATAAAAGCATCTTCTCTCTGTTCGTACAAACGATCACGATGTTTGTTTTTACCTTCAAATGTTTCGTCTTTTAGTTTGTAAAATCTGAAGAAAAAAAATAAAGATTTTTATTTTATTTTTTAAAGTTTCAGAACTTTATTATTGATTGATTGATTGATTGATTGATATTAATGATTCACAGAATCTTTGAGCTCAGGTCGGTCTGATTTTAAGGACATGAAGCATGTGATGAAACTGCAGGAAATGACATCACAATAAGTAGTGACAGCCCTGTAGGAGGTGGCCTCCATCAGGTCAGGGTGTGGTCAGAGCGCCACAGGTGCAGCTGAGTAAAGCCAGGTGTGTGTGTGTGTGTGTGTGTGACCCTGCAGCTGGTGTACGAGCGGATCCCGCGGGGGGACCTGGACCAGAGGGTGATCCACCTCAGGGTTCTTGGCGACGGAGCGTTTTGGGAGAACACCCTGCTGGGAGAGACCTTCATCCCTCTGAAGAGGCTGGTCCCAGGTCAGCACTGGGTGGACTGGCACCAGCTGGGCGCCGCCGGCTCAGACTCCGCCCACTGACGGACAGGAAACAGGAGGCGGTCGGTTTAAAGGGAGAGAAGAAGAAGAAGAGAAGCAGTGTCCTCAGGAGAACAGAAGACAAAAGGAAAGTCCTTTCAAAGTAAAAGCCATGTGGCTGATCCTCCCTCAGTGCATGAGGGGGTTTAATGACATCACATCCTGTTTGTTTCGTTTTTAAACGCAGACGCAACTTTATTCACACAAACATGTAACGACATCATTCTGTTGATTTTTAAACTCTCAGACCGACAGAGACGTCACGTCAGAGGGTCCGACCTGGATCAGGTCTGATGTGGATCAGGTCTGACGTGGATCAGGTCTAATGTGGATCAGGTCCTGATGTGGATCAGGTCTAATGTGGATCAGGTCTGATGTGAATCAGGTCTGACGTGGATCAGGTCTGATGTGGATCAGGTCTAAGATGAGAAGATAAAAATATTAACAATAATTTGATTAAAACCAGTTTCAGTTTTTTTTCTAACCTCCTGTCGAGACGACAACGAGTCTAACGAGAGGAAACGTTTGAGACCAGTTGAGTCATTTCTCATTTTCCAGGACTTTCCAGGACTTTAAAGGTGCGTTCAGGAACTCCAGGCACATTTTGTTTTGCAGCGTGTTGCGTGCTGAAGAGTGAACTGTGGCGGCGGCTGTGAGCTCAGCACAGAGACAGTGTAAAGTTTGTGTACATGCAGAGCTTTAGCTTCGATGTTGCTAACAGGAAGTAGCTGTAGGTTATTTTTATAGCGAGGATGATTTTCTACGTGTGGTGCATGACTTCAGAGATCCTGTTTGCCTTTCTCCATAACGTGCTCGGCGCCGCACGGCTCGTTGTTTCTACATTTCATTCCTTTTTTTTTTTTTTTTTTTTTTTTTTACTGGTGTGATTTTTGGTGTGGTGGCGTCTCGGCCGCAGCAAGGCGGTTTCTGCGCTGTTCATGAACCAACCACTGAGCTGAACTGTGAAACGCTGAAACATTTCCTATTGGAGGGTGATTTGTTTTTGTTTTTGACCCTGATGCTCTGCCGTAGCTCTTTGATCCAACCGGTGTGTTTTAAAGATCAATCACATCAGATCCTGTGATGACACGGTGGTTTCCACAGCGACAGCTGACGCACTGTCAGCTGGTTTTATTCAGTTGGAAACACACAGGAAGTGACAGGAACATAAACAGGAAGTTGATTTTTGGTTGATTTTCTTGATGAAAATGAATTTCAGTTTCAGTCTGTGTGAAGAAGGTGTGACAGAGCTGAGGAGTGACATCAGCTGATGTTTGTGTTTATGTTTGTGTTTATGTTTGTGTTTGTGTTTGTGTTTATGTTTGTGTACAGACTGACGCTCTGATTAATGTGTATTAATTTCACCTGAACATGTTTTGTATGATTTGCACTAAAGAATAAACTTGAACTGAAAAAGAATTTGGTTCAGTTATGAGTAAGTGTGAGTGTGAGTGAGTGAGTGAACGTGAGTGAACAAGCGTGTGAGTGAGTGAGTGAGTGAGTGAACAAGTGTGTGAGTGAGTGAGTGAGTGAGTGAGTGAGTGAGTGAGTGAGTGAACGAGCGTGAGTGAGTGAGTGAGTGAGTGAGTGTGAGTGAGTGAGTGAACGAGCGCGAGTGAGTGGGTGAGTGTGAGTGAGTGAGTGAACTAGCACGAGTGAGTGAACAAGCGAGTGAGTGAACGAGCGTGTGAGTGAGTGATTGAGTGAACTAGCGCATGAGTGAGTGAGAGAGTGTGAGTGGAGTGTGAAGGACTTTTTCCTTCAGGCTGCAGGAAGACGCCACACGCATCATGTCAGGTGTTCTCTAACACCATCACACTTTAACCCTTTTAAACCCAGAACAACATCACTTTCAGACGCTGCTCACAAATATTTAAACCTTTGAACGCTGAGCTGATCGCTGACATTTCCTACACTATATAAATAAAGTTTAGACCTACACTATATAAACAAAGTTTAATCCTACACTATATAAAGTTTAGACCTACACTATATAAACAAAGTTTAATCCTACACTGTATAAATAAGGTTTAGACCTACACTATATAAACAAAGTTTAATCCTACACTGTATAAATAAAGTTTAGTCTACACTATATAAATAAAGTTTAATCCTACACTATATAAATAAAGTTTAATCCTACACTATATAAATAAGGTTTAATCCTACACTATATAAATAAAGTTTAGTCCTACACTATATAAATAAGGTTTAATCCTACACTATATAAATAAAGTTTAATCCTACACTATATAAATAAGGTTTAATCCTACACTATATAAATAAAGTTTAATCCTACACTATATAAATAAGGTTTAATCCTACACTATATAAATAAAGTCTAATCCTACACTATATAAATAAGGTTTAATCCTACACTATATAAATAAGGTTTAATCCTACACTATATAAATAAAGTTTAATCCTACACTATATAAATAAGGTTTAATCCTACACTATATAAATAAAGTTTAATCCTACACTATATAAATAAGGTTTAATCCTACACTATATAAATAAAGTTTAATCCTACACTATATAAATAAGGTTTAATCCTACACTATATAAATAAAGTTTAATCCTACACTATATAAATAAGGTTTAATCCTACACTATATAAATAAAGTTTAATCCTACACTATATAAATAAGGTTTAATCCTACACTATATAAATAAAGTTTAATCCTACACTATATAAATAAGGTTTAATCCTACACTATATAAATAAAGTCTAATCCTACACTATATAAATAAGGTTTAATCCTACACTATATAAATAAGGTTTAATCCTACACTATATAAATAAAGTTTAATCCTACACTATATAAATAAGGTTTAATCCTACACTATATAAATAAAGTTTAATCCTACACTATATAAATAAGGTTTAATCCTACACTATATAAATAAAGTTTAATCCTACACTATATAAATAAGGTTTAATCCTACACTATATAAATAAAGTTTAATCCTACACTATATAAATAAGGTTTAATCCTACACTATATAAATAAAGTTTAATCCTACACTATATAAATAAGGTTTAATCCTACACTATATAAATAAAGTTTAATCCTACACTATATAAATAAGGTTTAATCCTACACTATATAAATAAAGTCTAATCCTACACTATATAAATAAGGTTTAATCCTACACTATATAAATAAAGTTTAGTCCTACACTATATAAACAAGGTTTAATCCTACACTATATAAATAAAGTCTAATCCTACACTATATAAATAAGGTTTAATCCTACACTATATAAATAAGGTTTAATCCTACACTATATAAATAAAGTTTAGTCTACACTGTATAAATAAATTTTAGTTTGCTGTGTGTTTGCTGAGGGTTCAGTGATGCTTTGTAGGTTGTGGGTTTTAAATGGTGGGGCAGCAGCAGCTCAGTCGACAGAGACTTGGTTTTGGAACCCTGCGGGTCAAGTTCTCCTCCAGACCAAATATGGAGTGTTGACTGTCAGCTGGAGAGGCGCCAGTTCACCTCCTGTGCGCTGCCAAAGTGCCCCTGTGCAAAACACTAACTACTCAGGGCACCTGTCCATGGCCAACCTCTGACATCACTCCATCTAATGCATGTAGAGGTGCATGTGTGTACGTGCACCCTGATCACGGGGGTGTGGGGATATATGGGGGCTGCAGCAGGGACCTGATCCGCTGCAGCTGGTGTGGGAGCTGCAGCTCCAGATAAGGGACCGTCAGTCTGTGTGGGAGTCTCTCAGCTGATAAACACGTGGCAGCAGTGAGACCTTGGACTTTCTCCATTACGTAACAGGGAGCAGTGTGCACGCGTTGCAGTAACACGCGCCCTCCGCCTCAGTAACACCGCGACGCTCCCTGGCTGCTGTTTCACCATAAAGCGGAGACGAGTGATTGTTGACGGTCCCTAAAGTTTCTGATGAAATCTCTAACCGGAGCTAAAGACAGACAGACCGACACACGGAAGCGACACGGCGGTTAAAATCAGACTTTATTAGCGAACACCGGAACAGTGTTATCACCGGAAGGAGGTAAAACGGTGTAACCTCGATAACGAAGCCAACGGATCGTGTTTTTGGATCAAATATTTTGAATCCGCTCCGGTTAACTGACCGCTAAGCTAGTTAGCTTCTCCTGCTAAGCTAACCTGCTAGTCAGCGCCACCGGCCGCCGTTGGACGCCGGAGCAGATCCCGCCGCCGCCGCCTTCTTCACGGACATTGAAAGCAGACAAAATGGCTCTTCTGTCGTCGTCACACCGGGATTCATCCTCACACCGGGATTCCACCGTGTTCACCGTCGTCACAAAGTTCTCCACCAGAAAGAAGTCCAACCACCACTCTCAGAGGAGCGCTGACGGTGTCACGGACAGTCTCCCCCGGGTTCCCTGTGTCTGCGCTGGCGGCTGTGAGAGCCAGTCGGTGTAAAAGACCATGTTTGACTAATTAATCACTTGTGTGTGTTTGTGAGTATTGATGGATATTAATGAGAGCTCGTGTTGAGTCGCCGCTGCATCCCACAGTCTGACAGCTGTCACGTGTCTCACCTGCTGCTCAGGTAATGTCACAAATTTCACATTTTGCACTTTGGAGTTTTCGGAAATGTTCACCAGTATGAGCGGGGAGGGACATTTAACCGGCGGGCAGAGCTCGTCCTCTCCGGCCGGGCGGAGACTCGCCTCTCCCGGGCTTGACAGCCAGGAAAGCTCGTGGATCGGCCTGCTCTCCAGGCCCGCGCTGTCATTTCTGCAGAGATATCTCCCGGGGCGGCCCCGAGCCCCGGCCCGGGCTGATACGGGAGCCGGCTGGGTTAAAACCAGCTTCGTTGATGAGGAGAGTGAGTTTTTGAGACAGCTGGACGGCATGATGCCGCTGCAGCACGCGGCTCCCCACCTGACCGTCCTGCGGTGTCAGCACGACGGAGCCGCCGGCCTGCTGGAGCGGAGCGGCGGCAGCACTTTACCGTGGCCCACCGCTGACTCTCTGCGGGAGATAGGGATCCAGAGCGCAGAAGAAATGGACTTAAATCTGTGCCAGCAAACTCAGATCGGATACCTGTCTTCTGTCAGGACTTTTTTCAGTCATGTTCTGTTGAGCTCGGTGTCATCTCAGGAAATTAAACCGACAGGAGGGAAGGACTGGGAGCCGCTGGGGCGCTCGGTGAAGAGCAGGACGTGGTGGGGCAGCTTGTGGGGGGGCGAGGAGAGCTCACACAGAGGGCTGATGTCAGACCTGTCCTGGGCTGAGAACGGGACCGGCACAGGAAGGCTTTGTCCTCAACAACCGGTGACTGAAACAAAAGCTCCCGGAACAACTGATGTGTTTGTCCAGAGCGGCGGTGGAGGGTGGACGCTGGGAGAAAACACTGGACCGACTGACCACAAAGAAGAGCCGGCGAACAATGGAGGCCTTCAAACAGTCCAGAACACAGAGGGCTCCACGACAGAGCGCCGGCTCAGCATCAGTACCCACCTGAGCAGGTCAGGAGCTGCCGCCGCCTGCAGTGAGGTGGCACTGCTGACCCCTGATCAGGACAATGGTTACTCCAGTCTGGAGGAGGAACACTTCCAGGTGTGCCACCTGAACATGGTGAAGGCTCTGAGTGAAGAGCAGGAGGCCGAGTCAACAGAAAGTACTGCCGCCGCCGCCGCCGCCACTGCTGCTGTCACCATCGAGACGGAAATGGAGGAGGAGACTTCAGAGGAGGGAGCGTCTGCATCAGGACAGGTGGACAAGGAAGAGAGGACGCAGGAAGAGGAGGAAGAGCAGGACGCGGCCCCTCAGGAGGATCAGGCCACGGCCCTCACCACCCCTCAGTGCCAGAATAAAGCCATAGCCTTCATCATGGGCTGCCCTTGCAGTGATGATGATGACGACAGCAGCCAATCAGATGAGGAGTCCAGTGATGACGAAGATGATGATGACGATGGCTTTGACAGCGAGGGCTCGTCTGATCTGTCCGATTCAACTGATGAAGATGATGACGATGATGAAGCCTCTGACAGCGAGGCAGACTCTGAGGCGGAGCGCCTGTGGAACTCACTGTGCCAAACGGTGGACCCGTACAACCCCCGAAACTTCACTGCCCGGCTGCGCACCGCCAGCACCCCGCCCAGAACCATCCCCACCCCCACGCCTCCTTTGTCCACCCAGTCCACCCCTGCCTCCTCTCCTGACCCTCCCTCCTCCCTCGGAGCCTCCCCTCTCCTCACCTCCTCCTCCCCTCCATCCAGCCAAGACATCTGGGACGACTCCACCTCGGCCAGTGAGGTGGACGAAGCAGAAAGCCTCCGCCTGTGGAGCTCCTTCAGCTGCTCCCCGGACCCCTACAGCCCCTTTAACTTCCAGGCCCCGCTCAGGACTCGAGCGCCTGCCGAGGCAGGGCCCAGGGCCAGGACCAGGGCTAAGAAGGCCTCCCAAACCCCCCCTCGCTCCCCCCGCCATAACCCAGCATTTCCACCCGAGTACAGGAAGGAGGAGGCTGAGGAGAGGCTGGACAGCGGCTTCTCTGAACCCTCCACCTCCTCCGCCCAGAGCTGCAGCACCACCAAAAAGGTGCGTTTGTTTTCTTTCTCATGTCATTCAGAGAGTTGTCCCCTCCCTCAGTGACCATTCAGTCACAATATTAATTTAGAGTAAAATCCAGAACCTGATGGTTTCCTCAGGCCTTTAAACCTCTGTCAAATCAACCAACCAGAGACACGTCCGTCCTGTCCTCTGTTGGACCAACAGTCCAAAACAGAGTTTCAGTCCTAAAGGACAAAGACAGAGACACCAGAGAGAATTTAATACATGATTTTAAATTATTGATTCATTATCAGAATCGGTGCAAAATCATTTTCTATTAGTGCCAGATGTTAAATATTCAGAGATAAAATGTAAAGAAAAATATTGTTTGTTTTGGTTCAAACAAAACATGACAGATCATAAAGATTTTCTCCAGACTGAACACACTGATGATTATAATCATAATCATAATGATCAGAGATCATGTTGTTATTTTAGAGTGCTTACTCAAACTTTCTAAGCAGCACAGACGTTGACATATTTCAGGCTGAGAGGACAGTTTGGGACATTTTAAATGTGAACAGTGAGAGTTTTCTGTCTCTGCAGCTCGTCTTCACGTGTTTTCTTGTAAATATGACGGTCAGTCATCCTGAAACTGAAACACAAACTGCTTCCTGCTGCAGCGTCACATTTTACTGCTGCGCTTCTTCTGATGACGCAGACTGACTCAAACTGAAACTCACTGACCAGTTTGTTATCAGGACTCAGGACAGTGTCCCCTCTGAGTCCCCTCAGTGTCCCCTCTGAGTTCCGTCAGTGTCGGTCCCTCAGGTCGTCTGTGGGTCTATAACAAGTCTGAAAGTGTGTTAAATTCAGTGTTTTTATATAT